TTTTAAGAGTTTTAGTCAAATGCTTTATAATATAGTATAGATATGTTATAGGATGAGAGTTGGAATTCTTTGGTTTTTCCTTGATCAAAATTTGTGATGTTTGAAATTGGTAGTAACATGATGGAGCCATGGAAATGTATTATTCATTTTCTGAAAGTCTGAATTTTGTTTTTCATTTATTTCTCCACTTGTTGAGATCCATGTGTCACTTTAATTACTTAAAATTTTAATTGCAACGGTGTTGTTCCTTTACTTTTTGGTTCCACATTTGTTAATCAATTGCCAATGATCAAGTTTATAGATTTATAAGAGTTACATCTTTTAAGCTCGTTAGCCCGTTGGCAAGCCCAACTCGTTAATAGGACGGGCAATGACAAGTTGTCAAGCCCAAAAAAAAGGATTTCGGTTTACAATATTAGACTCGCCAGGCAAAAAAAAATAATAGACCCGACCCGAACTCACAAATGATCACCTCTATTCATTTCCTCTATGTCAATAACCCACATTTTTCTTTAAGAAAAAAAGTTAAAGATGTAAAACATAATTCTAGTGTTTCATAAGTGTTCACAGTGAGGAACCGAGAGAGGAGTAGACCACGGTGGTTGGCGTCGATGGAGAAGAATGATCAACTGGAGGAGGTCGTTGGTCTTGAATGGAGTGGGTGAGACATTGTTGATGAAGCTGTTGGTGGAAGATGTGGTGTAGCATGGTAGTCGTAGGGAGGGGTAGACCACAGTGGTCCAACGATAAGTGGTGGCTTGCGATTGGAGATTGTTGCCGACGGCGAATGGAATCGAGGGGGCCAATGATGATGAAACGAGGTGGGAGGAAGAATTGCCACATACGAAATTGAGCACAATTTTGCAAAGAAATAGCCCATTTGTTTCTCGAGAAGAGATGGGAAACATCCAAAATCACACCAATACATTTTTTTTAAATCAAAAGAATGCACACTGATATCAAAAAGCTCACACACTGATATCATAAAGCTCACACATACGCATACGCATACGTACACGCATACGTGCACTATAGACCATCTTGAATGAAAAAACGAGAAGGAAACGGGGACTTCACCTGTAACACCCCCGTCCCGCATGGTCAAAGACGGGTGATGTCACAATTGGAATAAAACCAACATGTGTTATATAAAACAGAGCGGCTAATAAAATTTACCAAAAGATAATTACATAACCACAAACGGAGATAACGTATCTCAAAATACGGTCCCAAAATACCAGCATGTCTACATTAGTCATCAAAAGTTTAACAAAAATATGACTTAATGAGTTATCTTCAATATTGTCATCTCCGTAGCTCTCATCCCAAAATCCCTGCTAAGTCATATACCTGCCGAGGACAAGAAAATCTCGGCTGAGCTTAATGCTCAGTAAACGGATAATAATATAATAAAACAATGAATATGAGATAACAAGTTCAAAAACAATTGATGACGCCAAATGATAATCCAAAAGAAAGTCAAAATGCCCAAAAGCATATCAAGGGTCCGAAGACCAAACTGCATCACGAGGATGCGTTGTTCCCAAAGGATGATCAGTCCATTCAGGCACAAGTGAGGAAAGGGATGTGAGCACAACACAGCAATCCTCTCCGTGAATTTAACCACGGCCACAATTCAATATCCGATAACGGTTCCTAGGATCGATCCATACTTCC